ACAAGAAGAAAAAGGTTGCTCGACGGGGTTCGCCCGAGCCTGGAGAGGCCCCGGCAAAGCAATTTTGGGTGACAACGACATGACCACGACATGAACAACAGGTGACATGTATCGGAGCCCAACATTAAGGCCCTGAGATCATGGGATTCAAAATGATTCAACATGTTCCTTGTACTGCCAATGCTCGAAGATCAAGTAGAAGGAGAGCACCATCAAAAAAACACGTGGTGCACCCTCCAACATCGATGTTCAAACCGATGACGTGTCATGACTCATGACCATTCTCAACCGATAACATGCCTTCTCTTCAGTGTCCTGCGTTGGTATTCCAAGTGCCCTAGATCCGAACGTCAAGTCTAGGATCTTCTCATATATCGACATGTCTGCAAGCAACTATTCTTGGATGTCCGTAGTCACTTCCTCTCAAACTTTCGTTCGGAGCTCGCTGCCAGGAGGCTGATTCCAGAGCAGACCAACCTGAGCGCCGAGGGGCCGGAGGGCCCACAAAAACAGGAGGAGTTCGTATGCTGGCACGATTACAACAAAAAAAGACTCAACATTCCATTGGCATAGGCATAGCCATGCTGATCCTAGTTCACCAGCCGTTCTGTAAGCACAACATGTCAGAGTTATATGCCACTGCCTCAAACCGCAGCCTGCGCTGGGTGGACCAGGTCTTTTTTCCAACATCGATGAACTATTGGCAAATATGAACATTCATAAAGTTCCCAGAAAAAAAATATAGTTTTAGTTATTGAAGTTATTGTAATGTGCACATGTCAAGAACAGGCAGGCTCGTGTGGATTTTATCAAGTCTACCTGTACCTCTTATATGTGTTCCGGTTATGCTGCTAGTCATTCTGATGCCATGGTATCGCTCTTGAAGGTTCTCCATCTATCGCTCCACTCAACCTTTTTGCGGCTCCTCTTATAAATTCACACGTGCAAGCATATGCAGGCCATTGCTACCACGTTTGTTGCTATGTGGTTTGAGGAAACGCTAATACGCAGCGTTATAATGCGTTATATAATGAGTTGTTGCTCTACACATGGGGAAGTGGCCAGGACTGGACTTCTGAGGTATCGCTCCAGGTATGATTTACTATCGGTTTGGGTATCGCTCTTAAACCACGTTCTTCCAAAACATCTGTCAGAAAATATCTTTGGGAGTTAGCATATTCCTGGAACAGGTCTCACTGGCAAGCGGCTGAATCACAGCAGAAGAGCCGGGCAGCCAAGGCAGCAGGAAACCCACCACATGTGGGTAGAACCTGGTGATTGAACACCAACAATCGTACAGGCCGTCATCTTGCAGATTGCTTTTTTTAATGCAAACTCTGGAACACACACTGCACACATAATAGGAATTCGATCAAAATGCAAAAAAACAACACATGGCAAAGTTTGAACGGGCTCCACTCACAAACCTTTGCGAGCTAGCAAACCATGCGGGTGTTAGCCACACTGAGCCACCGTGATCAGCTGTGGTTCTCAAGTCTGAATCAAATCCTAACAGGGTTTGCTGGGTGATCATCCACTACAGAGCTACTATAAAACTAATTAAAACCTACGCGTATACCATCTTTCCTCAAAAGGCCATCCCTTTCGCAAAACCGTTTCACCATTCACTGACGGGGTCACCATTCACAAAGAGCAAAGAGTCTGATCCGGGTGGGTGTAGATCTCGGTGGTCGCCGTATCATTAAAAAAACACCCATCTCCAGCGCACCTCCACCAGGTCATCTGCATCCCACGGAGCTCAGCTTTGGAACATCCACGGGAGGCGATTCACTCGCCCTGACCGCGACCGATGTCGGGGTTTGGGGGTGGATGAGATCGAACGTTTTCGTTCAACCGACAACACCTCACAACACCTATGTAATTAGAGACTTTACCCTTAGTACCCTTAGTATCAAAAGTTCTGTGTGCAAGCTCTGTCGATATTCGAGATGCATGACACTGAATTGAATCCACGTGTTGGTTGAAACCCGGTTTGGGCTTTATTCGCTGGAACACCAATTGTACTGCTTTCCCTGATTTTATTAATTCACGGTCTGTTCTTTCGGTCATTGCCATCCCCCCAGCCCCACCCAACCCCCTGCACGCGCGTCCGTACACAATGCATGAGGAAGGATAGAATGATGTGAAGCATCGAATATTGAAACTTGTACTGAGTTCGCGCAACACTAACACAACAACGAACTCACAACACAAAGTGAATATGAACCAACATTGAACGTTGTATATACTCATGCAGTCTCTATCACTAAAAACGTAAACATCGAACCATGAACGAAGTGCCCCAACGCAACACGTTTGACATAGAACGTTGCACCAAGTCCGACAACATGATACGCGCCAACGCCAAACAAAAAAAAAACACAACGTGCGATAACATGGGACTGTTACAGGAACCGTCAGTATCATGCTCCAAAAGCTCCGGACTCCAGCTTATACTCTGGGGCTATATAAAAGCAGCTATATACAAACACTTGTTAGTCTTTGGCCACACTGACGCTTGCAGACTTGCTGACATGAAGTGGTAAATGGGGTTCGATCTTGGTCCATCCACCATCCTGCCATCCTGCATGGGCCATTGATAAGATTGATTGCTTTCGTTCAGGTTGCTTGGTTGCAAGGACATGGTATGCTTGACCAAACACCGAAGTAGAAATGCAAGGTGACACATGAGACACCTGCACCCAACCTGTTCGAGGTGCATAGTCGCTAAAAAGGGCACTCTGGTTGAGAATGCATCAGATATCGTCAGATTGTGCGCGGGTGAACCCAGAAAGCAAACCTACATACACTTTGCAAAGTCATGGGTTTTTGCACCACGTTCCACAGCGATCAGGCCGGACACTCCGGCCTTTGGCAAGTATTGGCACATGCAAGACATGCTGCGTGGTGGGCAGTCAGTTTGAGGTGATGACGCGGGCAGATTGGCGTGCAGTTCGGAACGAAACGGAGGGGAAGAGGTTGAACACGTCGAAGGCCACAACTATAATCAAAAACCTATGATTTGTTCATATGTTTTTGCCCCTTATTAAAAAAAATGAGTCAGTCAATGTGTTTCACAGTGGATAGAAGCAACCTGAACTACAAGTGAGCGGTGGTCGAAACCCCTTAGTCTTGGCCTTATAATCCTTCTCTGCTTACGCGTCGGCTTCCGCAATGCTTACGCTACCAATGTTTTCGCTTACGCGGTGATGTTGTTTCTCTTAGGGCTTACGCGTTTCTTACGCGGCGGTTTTGTTACCGGCGTTTTGGCACCAGAGCGGTGAACACTCTTTGTTCCCAACCTGTCAGGTGAGGGTGGTTACAGTAGATTTTAGAAGATGATCCCTCTCCTTCTCCTCTGCCCCGCTTCACTAGAGCAAGCGCCAGATCACAGTGGGGAATCCCGGACTCCAACAGCATTTGCCAAATAGCGGTGGGCACTCCCGGACCTCAACCGCAAGCTCCAGATCGCAGTGGGCACTCCGGGGATCACTCGAAGTAAAGTAATTTACACTTTGCTTTTATGATTCACTTGGTGGAGCCCGCTGCTTCTTTTTGTCAGCCATGGGGACCAAGCAGTTGGAGCGAGGGTCACAGTGCGCTTTGTGCTTGAAAAGTGCTCAGCTGCTTGCTTTGGTTTCTTTAGAAAAAAACCTTTGGTGGACGTGAGCAAAGGGCTTCATCTGAGAAGTTCGCCTACGCAAACCTTACGAATCGGCTTACGCGGGGCTTACGCGGAATTCGTGTGGTCGTGGGCCACTCCACAACCCTTTTCTGCTTGCAGTGTTTCTCAGCAAAAAAAAAGTATATTGGCTGTGTAACTAGAAGACTCAAAGTTGCCTACGCACCTCTTACGCATCGAGTGTCCCAAGCTTGGCTTCCACCGAACCTTACGCAACCCTTACGCCGTGCAGACTTTAGCTTACGCGACAGTCTTGCAGTTTAATCGGATCATGTGGTTCTTGCATTCAGGTTTTGAACGCTGCTCAAGTACCCCTGAGCTGATCGATTTGGCGGACTGCCAGTTTCAGGTCCACGACCTGTCTGTTTCGGGGCCTCCACTGGGTCTGTACACTCTCCTAGGCCTCCTCATAGGTCACACTGGGTCGAACGTTTCTCGAGACGTTCTACCACCACCGTGGGGCCCGCGCTGTTCGACGGGGCCGAAGACTCGGATGGACCATGTTCAATCCGAAGATCCGGAGACGAAGCGACCGTGGTTTTCACTCCACACCCAGACACGACGTTTCGGACTGCCATAGGACTGCCGATCAATTGGGGTGGTTTTGGGGGTCAATTGATCGGCATAGATGGCATACATGGAGTGTCTGGGACATACTATGGGAGACCCGGCGAGACCCACGACGCGAAAAAATACGATGGGAGACGGCGTAGCCAAAACGCTGAATGAAACGACGTCGCTCGTCTTCGTCTTCACAAAACTCCCTGCTTGAGACGTGCTTCGATCCCAGTGTGACATGCATGTGGCATTTGACATGTCCACCAAGAAACGGATTGTTTTAATGTGTTTTACATACCAGAAAAATAATCACTCCATCAAACAATGTCAAACAAACCGTTCATGATGCAAAAAAGAGGCGTGCATCAATGAAACCGAAAAAATCCGCCCACTCAAGCCTTTTTCTCACAGCACCTCGCTACTGACATGCATATCCTTTGCCACCCCTGATGACTGCTAATCAGCAAATATCTTCGAAAAGACCTGACGAGAAACTGAAATGAGTCACGAGTTCTGAATGATTCATGCAGAGCTCGTGACTGCTGCAAGACTCACGGACTTTTGCCATGAGGCATCTACAAATATCTGTTTATCGCCGCCTTCAAGATTGCTGAACGAATTATCGAACCTTGATTTGAGTTCGATCTATATAGATCCATTTGGTGAAAAGTGTGGACCTGTCATTCTATGCAAAACTTCACCACTCAGTGGAATTAGAAATTGAAAAGGGATGGGCCATGAACCATGTCACTAGATGTATCCCCACAAATCAAATTGAGCCTTAGGTGGGGGCACCTTCAAACCTGCCCCTCAGGCACCACACGACTACTCTCTCCGCCGAATTCATTCCGTGCACGTTCGAACACTGGAGCTTCCTGGAGCTCGACAACCTTGGTGATTCGATGGAGCCATCGTTCCCCATGGGCTGCTGGTGTTGGGTGAGAATCACCAAGTGATTGCACTTAACAAAGACATGTGCGCGCCTCGAAAGATCTAACAGCAATCTTGAATTCCAACAAACACATGCGCTGAAATGCGATCCCTCTTCAAAAGTACTAGCTTTTTGGGGTCAGAAATGGTTAGAATGAAAGACCTTTCTACGGTGGGTCATCACCAAGCAGCGGACCAAAACCTCCAGGGACCGACCTCTTGTAGAACGTTTCAGTTTTGAAACGGGGATGGAACAAACCTGATTTCAGTTCTGTGTGCCTCCTGAAATCACCTGATTTGTGATATGTTGTTTCTTTCTTTTTTTTTTGTTCGCCATGATGAGGGTGAATTCCAAACCATGTGCTGGGTGAAAACCTGGAGCTCCGTTTCCCCCGTGTCTGGGAATCTATTCTGTTCGTTTTTGGCGGGAACAAACAGAATCTCCTTGTTTTGACCCAATAGGGTAGTTCAATGCTGCAAAAAGCTCTGCAAAGCTCAGTCGCAGTCTGCCCGTTTCCGAAGAACCCAGCGCGACCGGCCTACTAAAGAAGAACATCCGATGCGGCAACTGTTGCAAAAACTGCATGCAGTTCAAGAATTGAAAAAAACAACAGAACTCATGCCCATGTCATACACCAAAGAGGGAGCTTCAATCGTTGTTGAGTAACCCACACAACACCCACTATGTCCATTCTACGTACCATCTACCAAATAATTTGTAAGAAATCGTAAGAAACTACATAACTCTGTGTACCTCGGCCGTTTCCGTCAGCCCATTTCGCCCCCGTCTCGCTCTGGGGAACCATGCTCATTGCTGGTTTCTCTAGTCTCTTGTGAAGGGCTGCACGATCGGGCCAACGATCTGGCGGACGGAGCGAATGGAGCGAGACCAGGGGCTTGTGGGTGCAGTCCTGTTTTCCAATAAACCTCAATCGCTTGTGGCTACGGACTTTAGATGTTCCTAACAAACTTCTGGTACCTGGACCTAATCCACAATAAGCTGTGGCTGACACACTTCTGTGCCACTTGATGCCTGAGAATAGCCTTACGCACTGACCCTGCCTGTATATAGTTTATAAGTTGTTGGTTGAGTCCAAATCGTCCCAAGAAAAAGATTGGACAAGCACCTCACAGCCTATCTGTTGCACAACTGGTCCAAGTGCTCGACTTTGGGGAGAAACGCGGGTACGGATCGAACCTGCTGCAACGAAAACTGGAACTGAATGAATGACTGGAACTGAATGCATGCCGATTCTCTCATCTTAGGAGATCGTGCTCGTCCAAGTTTCCCAAAAGCAAAGACAAATGTTAGAGAGTGGAAAGGCCGGGATCGGGAAAAAGTTCAAAACAGCAAACGACATCACATTCACCCCTTTAAACCCACCGCCGACAGTCCTAAGACACCTAGGCCTGAGTTTCTTTCCCTGCAAGCGGCGAATCAGACCGTTAGCTGTAGACTTGAACAAGCATCAAGCTGTATAGTTATCCCATCCTTCAACAAAGCAGACAGACCATCTCGCGTAATCTGACTACAGACCATCCGTGTGTCCCAACACCCAAAACGGCCAGCTGTACACGGCCACAGATCTCTGAAGCCAACACCAAGACCGTGAGGATGCTGCTGCACAAGAGCCCCGTCCATGCTGCCGCTCCACCGAGACCTGAGCCGTCGTTGACCGAGAAGCCCGGGGAAGGCGGGACGTCGTTGACCGGAGGACCGGAAAGGCCTGGAATGATTGGTGACCAAGAGAGGGTCTGTGACCGCATAGGACCCGGGAAACCTGGGGTACACAACTGGGATATAGTCTATAGGTTCTTCAACCTCTGTTGTTGTTATGGCTGGAATCCATGTTGAGGTGCTGATCAGGTGTTTGAGACACACCTGACATCATGAAGCTTCCTACTCGGCAGGGTCTACAGACTTGACTGTCAGCATGTGTCTCAAACAACCCGGGCTTGGCAACTGCCAAGAATGCTTTTTGTACCGCCTTGGTCAGTTCCTGGGTCCACAAACCACTCATAGGACGAGGGACGCGGGTTCAGGTACTTTGGTACTCTAGTACATTGATTGTGCTTGTGTTGTTTTCCTTACCGCATTTGAACAACATCGTCTGTGTGCTTTCAAAATCTTTCAAATTTCCTTTTTTTCCTTTTTTTTCCTTTACAGTCCTATGTGGACGATCGATCCTCTATATCTGTCCAATATAGCCGGAAATACTTAAGAGGCACACACAGTATGGCGAGCAAAGAGTACAGTGTTGAGAACAGTGGAGCTCTAAGAAAGTCTTCACTGTTGCTGATGTATACAAACCTTGGTTTAACCATCTTGATTTGTGCACGTGGCCTCATCCCAAGCTTCACAGAAGACTTTCAACAGGCACTGACGCAAAGACACCCGTTCCTTGAGCCCATGGATTCCGTTGGCAAAAAGCACGCAGTCAACTCGTGTGATTCGCATGTGGTCAGCCAGGAGACTTTACAATGGAATCACAAGAAGACTTTTGACGATACATAGTGGATACTACTTCGTTGGCATGATTGATTTGTATTTTGTTCCCGAGGTCTCCCAATTCCTGCGCCGATGGTCCTCCTTGAAAAACACCGCTGCCAACGAGGAGCCCTTGAAAGTCTCTGTGGTGAGGCGTGTGAAGAGCGGCATGAACGGATGATGCAGGAGGTAAGGGAACAAGGTCCGACGCCCCATGGCAGTGAAGCCCTAGCGGTGAAGCCCATCGGTCGCCGGAGCTGGGATGGAGGGATGTTGGGCAGAAGTGCTCGGGGTTGGGGCTTTGCCGGAGCTTTTGAGGGATGTATTTAACTTAAAGAACTACTAAAAAAAACAACACCAGGGATCACTGCAAGACAAATGCTAAGGAAAGCAACATAAACCAACCGTGTGGCCTCCCAAACCTCTGGAACTAGGTAATTCGCAAAGGTTAGGGAACATACCCAGATGTCGGAAACAACACAGATCTGTTGGATTTCTGCAAGAGCAACATGGTTTGGAGGCTACAACTATCTACAAATACTTGATCCCCACCTGCTCCTTTCTGGGGCACAAGAAGAGCAGGAAGATCAGGACCTGTAGCAGCATAAAGACATCACCTGGCAACATGTTCCGAGAGGAAAGTACCTGTAGCCTGTGAAACCTCTTGGGGAAGGGTTGATGCTTCACTATGCTTCACCAAGGTCTTTTTTCGAAGCGAAGCCAAGTATCTTACAGGAGGAGTTTTACCCTTTTTAGAAGTTGTATGACGGTGTTACTTGTTGCATCTTGTTGCCCGAAAAACCGTATAGACTGCGTACACTATCCGAATCCCTTCACCCGTAACTGCCTTCTACGTTTGATAATGAGACACAACGCTCACACCCAATGCGACCATCATCTGTGCTTTCTGTTGCAGGCATGTCTCGCTTCAGCAAGCAAAGATTGAAAGAATGAATTCCCACATATTCCCACTACAGTATGTGCTCATAGTCAGAGCTTAGAGCTTGAGACCGGCATGGAAACATGATGAAACAGATTCCTTGGCAGCACACATCCGTGGCCCAAGTTGGTATCTCTGGGACCCTGCAAACAAATCAGTTCTTATTTATTTTTGAAAGCCGCGCAGCATGGTGTCAGCCCTCCCAATAATGGGTAGACTTGTCTATACTCTTTCTTCCACGGGGTCGCACTGGGAGGTCTCCTTATTCTAATTCACTGCATTATCATTATCATTGCTTAACCGACAGATCTTTTTGAGTAGGATACATACCCATTTACTCCTTGACCAACGTCCCGCTTGAGCAGTCCGGCGCCTAGCATCAGCAGCAGCGTTTTCAAGAACCATCCGGTGTGATCGTGGTGATAAAGGTCCTCAAGGAGGAACACACAGAAGTCACAGTTCGGTGTTCCACACAAAAACACACTGGTGATCTGACCAACCTGTGTAGGATCAGTGGTGTTCAGTTCACTCCTGGGAACATTCCGGTCTTCATGTCACTAGTCACTAACCCAATCACCACTTGATCTCATCCAAATAAACCCGATTGAACAGCAAAAAAGACCTCTTCACAAAAAGTGGAGAACTGAATCCCCTCAGCTGGAGAACTCTCTCTTCAAAGCTTCAGCGAGTGGCCATGGCTTGTGGCCAAAATTGACCCATCTCGTTGATTCGTTTGATCCGTTTGGATTCCGGATGGGTACGTCTGACTGCAAGGATGAACAAAAAAAGCCAGCACCGGTACTCAATAAGAATCAAAAGGAAAATCAACGCGACTACGGTATCATTACGATCTTTGGAATTCCCATGTGCTGATTCCGGCAATTAAGGCAACAGGCAACAAAAGCTTCGCCCTCGATTTCTCTGCTTAAACCTTGTCGTGGCATGGACCTGCGTAAACCTTGTCGTCCCCCGCTCTCCTGCCTCTGATGTTCAACATTTGCCACATCAACAAGTGGAGCAACAACCACAAACCTAATCGTCAGCCCAGTCACCATCGACAAGTTCAGCTGTCCCATTCTTACAGTATCAATATATTTATGTAATCCTCTCAACTCACACCATTGACCAACTCACACCAACCCAGTGATGGATCTTCCAGTGATGGATTCTCCAACAGTTCGCAGCCACACTGCACCATCCAGGGCTCCTGGATGGTCCAGGGGCTGGAGGACAACGTGGGGCATCGGCGTAGTCCTCCCAGGCTGCACGTCAGCCCATGCCTGTCGACGGATGCGAAGCGTCGACGGGCGAGATCTAGAGGTTTTGACCTGTAGCAGTGTTTCTAATCCGAGAAGCAATTTTGATGCCTAGAGTTTCTTGTTTCTAATAGCGAACCTTGTTACTACTAGTAAGGCACCTGTTACTACTAGCGTGGCACTTGTTACTGAGGGGGGGAAGGGAGGTGGAGCAAAGTCCGATTCTGCCCATGTTTCGCCCACCTCCCAGAATTCCTTTAAGATAGGCAGTGAAAACATCTGAGGGACGGTCAAAACTCCAAAAAGGACGTCATCAGTTTAACTGTTTAACCCATCGTTTTACCGTGTTTTGAAGTCGCCGCATACTTAGGATCATATACAGCGCTGGGGGCTGGGGTTATCGGTTTGAAGTGCACCTTATCGTTTTGTTGGGTTTTGTGCAAAAACCTATCCCTCTTTACTAAAGTGGTCTTCGCATGATTTGACCGTAGCTCATACGAAAAAATTAACAAGAGCAGTTCTTTCTCGTAACTAAACTTATGCCAAAATGTCCTCCGTAGACGGCTTCTACAGTAACATGTCCGCAGCTGCAGCTGCAGCTGCATGCGCCGCGCACGCGCGTGCCCACTGCGTGCCAGCACGCAGCTTGGCTGATGCGTTCTACAGGCCCTAAAAAATGCATCCGCAGGTTTTGTGGATGCACACAACATCGCCCAGACCTTCAAAAGATCCATCCTATCTGGCACCCCAATGCATGATTCATCCCGTGTTGAAGGGTCACCGTACCGGTTTGAAGGGTCACCATGATTGGCATGCCAGCACACGTGTGACGAGTGGCACGCGTGTGACGAGTAGCAGCTGAGAACATGTCGCATCCACCCTGCTTATCTTTCTGGTGCAGCTTCTGTTTGAATCTTCACGTTCCCATCGATCCGAGCTGCAGGTACAAGAACACCATCATCGCGATCGTCCACTGCAAAGGACCTGGACCATCGGTTTGGGAAGAAACAAGCGAAGAGGCCACGAAGCGAAGGGTGTTGGTCCCCAAACCTGCAAGGAAGCCAAGAACACCATGATGAACAAAAGATGGGCACAGCGCACAGCACAAAAGGAGTAAACTGTGACGACCACTCGTGACAAACAACTGTACAAGTAGATGGCACGAATGCCATACGTGTGCGGTATAGTGTGCAGTATAGTGTACGCCAAACCATGGAATCTGAATCAAATATAACACATCCAATCATCCAATCACATCATCAATCACCCAACAAAAATCTCCAGACTGCAGCCGCACCCTTCGGGTCTCCCATGCTATTGGCAGTAAGTGACCGTGGGTGTCTTTACAGGTCACGCCATCTCGAGGCAAACCCAACGGCATCTGTCCGTCTGGGGGGGAAAGACATTCTCCTCCGGGTGTTGCTGGATTGGACTGGATCGGAGGCCTGCACAGAGATGTAAAAGTGAATGGCTTTTCCTAGGCCAAACAGCCTCATGGAATCAGAGTCTGACCAAGTCTGTGATAGTGATCCTTGAGGGCCCTCGTCATGCGGAACGCCTTTCCACCATGATCATGATGAAGAATTTCTTGATCTCATCAGAATCCAAATGCATTAAACTGGTCTGGATGCAAGGTGCACTGCACCACCCCGCAACCTGCACCTATGATACGCTGTAATATCTGTAATACAGGTATGGGGTCTACTCCACCTACGTACTATTCATCATCACAGTCATGCCTTCAGCTATCAAATATTCCTACGCCAAGATGCGAAAAGACAAGAAGCCACTCTTCCACATGCGGGACTCTTCCATCCTTTCAGAGAAAAGCTCTTCCCACGTGGACCACCTTGGGGTGGAAAGGTGCACCCAAACATGGCACGATGGGCAGCTGGAACGGCCTGTATGATCTGCCACAAATACATACTTATACGCTGAAAGATCTTAAGCTTGTCTTAAACTTGTTATGAATCCTTGGATTCAACTAACATCTACGAATTTGCCTGGAAATCCGTGGACTAGTAGGACCAGCGCAATCAACCCAGCCCAGCCACCACTACTCAACCTCGGGCTACTAAGTATACCATTGACCACATGGGTGTGGGTCAAAAAGGGGTGCGCTTCTCAACCCGTATATTCTGGTATGTTCTTGTCTGGTCACCTCGGAGAGACTCGTCATCCTCATGATTTCTGTGTGAAGTGAGCTATAAGCGGTTCCTTTTCGCAGGAATTTTGGGTTGGTGGTACTACGTGGTATTGGTATGTATTGGTATGTATGAAGAGGCTCATCAGCTCGTCGGCTTGCTCTCAGCATGTCGGTTGGTTGTCCTGTATCACCTGGAAGATCTCACAGCACGCTTTGTCATCCAAATCGGGTCCCCGAGCTTCGGTGCTGCAGTGGAGATTGCTTCAACTGGAGATTGCTTCCGTGGATTCAGCTTCCCAACTCCGTTCATCCAAAAAGCCACCCAACACACACCCGGCTTTCACCAACTTCCCATCTCATGGTCCCGCTGCCATCTCAGTGGCTCCTCGCGACAGATCTGCCCTGCCACGAAGAAAGGCCAAGACCTGACCGGTCGACAGCGGGGGAGGCGGAGCACCTGTCCCGTCTGGGGACGGGAGGTCTCCGGTGTGGTCGACGGACAGGGACCGGTACATGGATGTACCAGGGTCTGACGAGATATAAAATACATTACAATCAATTACAGTATGGAAACATGTAACATATATATATATACACAGTATATGAAACAATGCGTGTATATTTACTTTACTGTATAATATATCAAAAAAACATGATACTTGGGTGCAAAAACATGATGTGGAGGGTGGACTCAATCAAAGTTAGGAAGCCTCGTATTGTTTCAGGGCGGTTCTGCACATCATACTACTTTAAGGCGGGATTGTTTTACAATGTTAGTGCACTCCTCTGGATAACGTTTACAGGAATTCCTGGATCACCTCAATGAGCAAACCTACACAGGACCTGCACAAGACTTCTGCACGTACAAAATCGTACAAATGTCTAGCTTTTTCTGTTTCATTTTGGGGGTAATTACCGTCGTACCGTTGTGGAGGTCTCATTGTGCGCTTGGGACATTTATACCATTGGGGAGGCGTCCTGTCGTCCAAAGCATCGTTGTTCCAGGGAACAGGATAGACTCCAAATCACAATCCTGGATGAACCATGATGAACCGCTCTCGTAGAAAGATGCATCATGTTTTATGATGTTTCAGTTTTGTAACATTAATTGATACTTAGATGGTGACTGTGATATTAGAATCTAATAGATCAACGCAGGTGGGCATGAGACGGAACGAGAGCGGAACCAGGCGAGTTCGGAGCATCGAGTTCGGAGCATCGGGGTGGAGCGGTCGGTGTCTGGGGTGTCTGGGATGCCCGTGATGCCCAGTGGTGTTGTCCTTGATAAGCGGCACTTTGATGGGCAAAATGAAGCATTTCTGAGAACATAGAGAACCATGGCCCTATGGCCGAAAGCAATTTGCCATCCCTTTCCTTGGCACCCTGTCGCTCTCCACCCTAATGATCCCTAATGGCTGGCGCCATGTGCATCATGTGCTCCTCCCAAATGGATCCCTCCTCAAACCAAAAGCTCTGGGCTCTGTCTGAGATCTGTTCCCAGGCACCCGAGGACTTCTCCGAGACTCAAGAACTTGAGGTATGAGACCTGGGCGGCTGAATTCGCGCGAATGCGCGTAGTGCAAACGCGCGAATGATGCATGCAGACTGACCCGGAGTCTCTGTCCCATGCATCTTTACAAGCTCCAAAGACCCATCTACTGATGAAAAGGACTCCAATCTTGTCTGGGTTCGTCGGCCTGAAGACCTCTTTGGCAGGGCAGAATCATGGGAATCTCTGGAGACCACTCCGACTACCTCGGAGGTGCAGCCTGGGTCCTTTGAGGATGGGTTTCGGGTTCCAAGCACTCCTAAGGCATGATCTTTGGCCCTGAAGGTAGATGCTCGTGGATGGTCCTAGAAACCGAAAGAGGCCCTCCTGACCAAGTCACCCTGCCGATCGCTGAGATCACCAGTGCTTGCAGAAGCCGTGTTCGCCACGGCGTGCCAAGCACCATCTGATTGGCCTGACAACGCCAATAGACGAGGCCGTAGAGATACCTCGACACGTGTGAATTGGGCAATGTCGGCTAGAAGAAGGATCGGAATGGAATGGGACTAGTGACTAGAAGTCAATAGGGTAGAGGGTGAAAGAGATGATTGGGATTCTAGATGAGCCCTGGGCTGAAGTCCATTTGGAGAGACAATTTGTTTGTCTTGGGCACAGTTCATATCCCCCCACATACAGTCGCGATGTCTCACCATGTCCGAAAGACCTGTGCAAACTCGAGCATGGGGACCTTCCGATTCACCATCGTATGGAGTCGGCGGTTGATGAACAAAACCCCGGGCTGGAGATGCAGAACCATTCTGGCACAGTATTGCAGCCACTACTACTACCACCACCACTACTACTACTTCTACTTCTTTTTCCTTCACCCAGTACTGTAGTACAGTACTCATATGTAGTACGGGGGTTCAAGCTGATCAACGGTCTCCATTCGGTGGATTTGTTGGATGTTCCCAGCCACACAAACTTCTTCCAGCGCATCGCTGGTCCGTTCGCCACACATACGTTTCGCTGTTCACGTGTGTTTGGCGCACTTGATGCTTCCTTCAGTCACCTGCACCCACCTGTAAACCACAAAAGAGCAAGCAGAGTTTGCTGTCAAACGCGACCGAGGCTCCACTGCACATTCTGTCCTGGGAACACCAGCATCTGGTAGACCTCCCACAAGTATCCTTCCGTCGCGGGTGTCGTTTGGGGGGGGCCGAGAAGGCTGGCGACCGAGGCTGAACATGACACTAAGGGCCTTCTAAAGAAAAGGAAGGTTCCACAACTCCAGGCTATCCATGTATGGCATATATTGACCCCTGAAACCACCCCAATGTAGGTTAATAGGCCATACATGGATGGTTGTCTCTTTCACTTCGACCGATTTTTGCTCACCCAACTCTCCCACTACTATTATAACTATATAACTGTTTGAATTGTGTCTGATATTTTTCTTCTTCAACTCCTACCTTTGTTCCACTGCCACAGCGCACACTACTGCTTGATTTGTTTTGACTTTCTTCGTTACATGTTGATCCCAGTCTGTCCTTTTTGAATAGCAAAACTGCGCATCGCTAGTGTTTTGGATGCACTTGTGTCTTTCCTGCTGATCTGTTTGGTTTCCTTTATGTGCTTCTTTTGAACCCCCACCCGCCGCTTGGTATGGCCGTACTGGGGGGAGGCCCACAGACCAACAAAGAAACACTCAACTACCCCTTGTCTCAAACGGGCTTTAGTCGGTGGTTCTAAAAAGTATTTCACTACCCTTCAGTTCTTTCTACCCCTCTTACTTCACACTGCCATTCATTGCTCGTGTCTGCGAAATTAACGCTGTCAAGGTCTGCACAAGCTTGCTTGTGAGGGGTGCCATCCCCGCCTGAGAGCGTCCAAACCTGTCCCGCAGCCAAGGCATAGATGGGTTCGATGAAGAGAGCAAAGAGAAGGATCTGCAGGAGTGTGTTGCGGGAGGCATGCATTGCCTCGTACCAGTTTGCAGATTTTTTTGCTGACCTCATCGGGCGCGATCCCATTTGTCTTTACTGACCTTCAGGACAACTCTTCGCAGTCTGGGCAGTCTGTCCAGACTGAACATGTCAAGCGGGGCAGTGGAATGCATGTCTTATGCATATACCTAGAGGCATAACATCGTATGACCCATATGACACACATTTGCACACAGCTTAATTACTGACAAATCCTGGATACATGTATTGGTGTATCAAACATGATCAAGCAAAGCTTAGTCAGATAATGGTTTAATGTTGTGCGTCATTCACAAACCTGATCCCCTGATCCTGCAAACAAGAGTCGAATCCCGAGATAAAGGCAAAGGTTCGCGTCTGGAATGGGTTGATCAAGGACAGGACACGCAAGTAACCTGCAATGCCCGGCAGGGAGTGGGTGGTCTGCTTCTCTGTGGCGCAACATTAATAGAAAACAAACCAAAAGAAACAAAAAGTCTTAAAACAAAAACGATCACCTACAAAGAACGTGCTTTGCTTTTGTCGACCGGTGGCTTCAAAAATAGGTTCTTAACAGAACACCTTCACGTGATCTAAGCCTGCCGATGAGTGTTTCAGACACGTATCTCCTTTTGGACTCCACACTCTCCATCTCCTTAGCCTTTTCCATCCTTTTCCCAAGACCTCCAGGCCCAGTTTGCCTCATACCAGTTTGCCTCCTCATACCATTTTCCATACCAGTTTAGAAGAAAGCTACACCCAGCCTTGTAGTCTAAAGCCTCCCAATGCCAATGTCCTTCGGTTCAATTTCACCTTCCCAAGTTCTTCAGAGAAAACCCAAATCCTTCTATATAGTTGGGCCTTTTCCGGACGAGACAGAAACAGGAGTCCGTGAAATGCGATCGCCTTTCGATCAAAATCCCTGTGGAAAGCCCCCCCCAGTTCTTTTTGATTCATGATGATTCCGCTGATGGCCAAATGATTCAGACCGGTTTGGATTCTCCACACGTGACAAGGAACGACTGTCGGGGGGGGGCCGTTCCTTGAAATGACGACGTGGGATGTACCGGTGTTGTTGGGGTTTCTTAATGGTGGTCTTTCCATCTGAGAAAGCCTCAACATCAGCAGGTGACTTGATGGATTTGGTTGATACTTATATAACTGAACACGATTTTTTATGGTTATCAATATGTGATCAATCTTTGTTTCTGAGGCATAGTAGGTAATTCCTGATAATATATGAATTACTGACCCTGAATGGTAGGCGGTGTCTTGAAACACGACTGCCAGGGGAAGTTTCGACAATACGAGCACCTTCCTTCCTGTCATGTCAAGTCACTAGGTAGATTAGGTGTCAGGGATTGCGTCAGAATCACCAGCACCATCATGCCAAACTTCGCGTTGTCCAGGACAACCTCAGGTTCCGTTGCGCTGAGAAAATCCATCGGCATCACTTGCAACCTGAACACTCAGCCACCTCTCGTACCAGGGACCATACCATCCACTTCCGAATTCCGTGGGTTCATCAAAAAGATTCAAAAAGAGGCAAAGGTCTCAGAGTCACCAACAAGGCTTCTTAAAACAAAAACCAGTTTGTCTAGACTCCAGGCAGCGTTTTTTGCAGACTCCCCCAGCCAACGCTTCGAGTCTTTTGAGTATATACAGTCAAGTGAACTTTGCTCCGATGCAGCATCGTCTATATTCTAGAGGGCTTAAATATTTGAGGGCTTCGCCGGCTTTGCCCTTCCCCAAGACCTCTTGGAATCAGGTCGATGCCTCCAACCCATTTCAACCGCCCACATGCTCCCTTCCATTCCAGCAGCAGAAGCACTGGGCGGGACAGCGGTCAACAACCGCTCTCCTGGGCGCGACGTGCCGCGCGCGATGTCATGCGATTTCGACCGGTCGTCCTGTTGCTTTCGATTTGGTGGGCAGTCGATGGGGGGTTAGAGCAGTGTGATCGAAACAGCCGATTTGGAGGATGGTGAACTATATTATACATGCTGACTATATCTGACTATAAGCTACTGTTTGGAGCCATGGGCCCCCGAACTCCCCTTTCCAAAGCAAAGAAAAGATAAGAAACGTCGACCTTGGAATTCGTAGATTTCGTAGTATGTATAGCCTTATGGCCGTAGCTACGAACACCTGCGGATGAACGTTGATTCAGTGATAAACTTTGCCAGCCCACCATTTTGCTTCAAATAAACGCGGCAGGAGCGGGCAAACGATCATCGAAAGAGACTTGTGACTGGACATGCTCCACAGAAATAACAGAGTATAGCAATCAGCCAACAAGCAGAATCCATGACTTCCCCCATTTACAGTAGATGCCTTCTTATATCCACGCAACTCAGGTGTCACCCAGGCAATGAGCACATGTTTTGTCACCCAGGCAGCACCACATGTCGATCCAAGTCGCCCAGTAGGTCCAAGGCATTATATTGCATCACCGGATCTGGAGAGAGCAGGCGACAGCAGTGCGATCCCGACCTGCGATCGGTGCGATCGGTGCGAGACGACTCCAACGGCCGGTCCAACGCGGTGGCCCGGTTTGGACCCACAGCCATGCCAGTTCCATGAAGTGCCTGAGATTGGTGAAGATGAGTCGAATAGTGCGTGACACCGAATTGGAGAAATAAAAGCCGGAGATGCGGACCCTGAAAAACCACTGCCTACATTTCTTCTGATCCCCCCAACTTTTGGAACTGCGACCGTTTGGCTCTGTGGCTTTCGGAAGTGTCAGATTTGGAGGATCTGCTGACGGTTCCGTCCACCTTCAGAAGCAGAGGTCTAAGCTCTGATGCACTTTCCAAGGGGTCTGTCTCGCCCGTTTGGAGTTGTGCTATGGCAGCTATGCTTTTTTGAGAATGCGTTGCCGGCGCAATCAGTCAACCGCACATCACCAACTGTGGTATACATGTATGCATACTTGCCGCCCCTTCTTAAACTCTTCCAGATGTGTCCAATTACTTTGCAAAAAGAACCTTTCCGGAGCCAAGACACCAAGGTACAAGGGCCACCGAGCCCAGACGCGCTCGAAGAATCGGGCGGGACGGATGGCGACGCGTCACGGGATGGCTCCGCGCGCCTTCCGTCTGCAGAGCTGGAGCCAAGCAGACACGTCGTTTCGGCGCAAATGGCAGAGCTTGAGGACCCTGGGGCGCAGCTGAAGCTGCGCCCCATGGAGGGTCTGGCCCTTCGAGAAGCTGCTTGCAGGTATGGCCCTTCTTTGGTGGATCAAGTGGCCAAACATGGCAAACATCGGATCTTGATTTACCAAAAAAAGCAAAGTAAGGGTCAATACCAGAGCCCCAAACCCCCGAATCACCTGATTAGACACCCCAAACCAGGGGCCCTGGTATTGTTGTGCTCTTATTGCACCGAGCTCCACATCTGATCCATGTGAGCCCGCAAATACCCACAGGTATCGTGAAGCGACGAATGAACGTGTGGGGACAAGGCGCAGAATCCGTTTCGCGTATATAATGCATAAAGAGTACCAAACATCTGTTCCTTCTTGTCACCAAGAAACTCACTCATTTGTGGAAGTTTTGACAAGCCTTCAGTTGGATCTGCAACATACAAGGACATGGCGCCTGAAACTATCAGTGACACGCCTCCTATCCTTCTATTCTAAGGGCCGTTGAGAACTGGTGATCAACAAAAAGGAAGATCAATAACACATGAAATCGCATAAAATAGATTCCAAGACTCAAAAACACATGAAATAGCTTTCCACGTGAAAGCCAGTGAATCCGATGGCCATCCCAACCCTTCCCAGCCGTGGTGACACCCAAAGGACTTCTGGTGACACCGAAGTGCCCAAGGTATTCCCTGGTAGCACATGGACCCATCACCCTGACAACACATAAATAAAGCTTGGGGTCCACACGTCTCTTCAAGGTTCATGTTAGTCACTCCAGTCTGCAAAGGGTTCCCGTCGTCTCTTGTGACTAGGCGGAACCTTTTAAGCAAGTCTATTGACATCACTTTTCACAAGTCCACCTGATCAACCAAAGGCACTCGCAGAAAAAAAGAAAACGAAAAAAAAAAACAGAGACGCAGCCGCTGTCTCGCTCGCTCACCCACACACCGGCGCGCCCAGCATGGTCACCGGTGTGCTCTGACGCTCGCTTTTGAGGGCTCTGAATGACCTGACGGTCAAAAAAGAATCGATGGACCGATCATTCGGGTGACCAGCCGAGACGGTGAAGCAGGCAAACAGTATAGGCAACTACTGGTCGTTTCTCCCAGATTGGTCCATTCGAAAGGGCACGGATATGGTCATCATGTGGTTCTTATTCTTCAATCAGCGTCAAGCCGGTGGCACTTTCATTCGAAGGTCCAGGTCTACAGACAGTCGTCACCCAAAGAATCCCTAGGAATCCCAGCGACCACATTGGTAGGTCACCTATGGTCACCTGGCAGTTCAGACCTAAGCTAAGCCGGCACTTACCAAAGTGGTGACTGGAATGGCTGGGCCTCTCATCGCTAGCTCAGCACGTGGCGGAACTGCAGGTGGTGCCTCCAAATCCTAGAGCCTTGGCCCTTGCAGCCTCCCTCCGAACCGAACACTTCAGGGGGAACGGTTCGGAAGTGTAAGTGATGGACAGCTGCCATTCGATGTTCAACTCTTCTTGGCTCCCAGGTCCTGTCGGACATCACCTGGCGGTTCAGCCAATTCTGCCAATGGGCATCGTGAAACTGTTGGCGCACAAATCAAGACTGTGGCTCACTATGCGAAGGACGGATGCCGAACCACCAACAAACATCACGGATGTCGAACATCAGTTACGGCATGGCTCTCAAATGTTGTGCCATCCCCAAACGCTACATGCACGTAAAGACATTCAACTGCAGTTGGGAGTTAGGACTACCAGGACTACCAAGAACTCCCACCGGGTGCTGGGTCTGTTCCAAACCTCTCTGGGTCTCCCCTGGGTCTGTTCAGCCCGTTTGGTACCCAACTCTTAATGAACGGACGGGTGCGCTGGGTCTTCCTATATTGCGAAAATGAACAGAACAAACTCCTAACGAGGTCAGGACTCCAATCGGATGACGAGTGTCACAGAGACCGACCCCGAGACAACTGGGATCCCTCAATGGCGTCACCTGACGATGGTTGCGACTGGCTAATTGACATACATTGGGGTCTTGGATTTGCTTCAGGAACCCAGAAACAACAAAGACTATTCCCCGGAAGGGGATTCAACCATAGGGAAAACTAATCATCACTTCCAGCAAAAACCAAGGGGGTGCTTAAGGAAGAAGGGGACCAATGGGGCAGAATCTCTTCCAGGCCTGTGGAGTGTCTCGGTGGAGTGTCTTCGAGCATCCTTCAACAGGTCTCCTGTAGGTTCTTGGGCCCTAAGAGGTCTCGCCCGTTGGACGCTGGCATAGATGTCCTTCATAACAACAAGTAGGGCATCAGCCAGCGCAAGCAGAGCCCAGTCCCGCTGTGCTTCGCTGCCCTTCTCCCAGTCAAACGTCGCTGGGAATCGCGAGCCACACGGTGGAAATCTCCCAGCAGCACGCGCTCAGACTTGCGCGCTCCAGCTGGGCCGTTCGATCTCGAAACGATGTATATAGACCCCCAAATAGATAAGTAAAGTAAAGTCATGTTCAAAATGTATTGCAGGACATGGACGATGTATAATAGATAAGTATATATGTTGGAAAACGTTTCTATCTATCTATTCTATCTATTTGGGAACCACTATTAAAGGTTGACCTCCAAAGCAGGTGATCACTGGTGGTCGTCTCGTACGGAAGGAGTGCACCGTGCGCGGACACTCGGGGCGAGGACACTCGGGGTTCGGCAAATTCTCTGCAACCGCGACGTCTTGAGACGCAGAGTTCGTATGATGTTCATCAAGATCTGGGTCTTGAGACGCGAAACAACATCAAGGAGGAGCTTTGCAACACCAAGGATAGAACATGATACAACAAGATTACAAGGCTGCAAGGTGGTTCTTGCATGGGTTCTTGCGGGATGTTTTTTAGGGTTCCCTCATGTTCCCTTGCTTTGGTCAAAGACAACACTTCTTCGTAAGTGAGCACTGCACTTCTTGCACTCAGCCTTTGACTAGCTAGTAGCCTACGGTAAGCACTGGAATAAATGGAAAATGTCTGGTAACAAGTGTAACAAGGGCATCGTTACTAGTAACAAGGGCATTACTACTAGTAGCTAGAAGCTACTAGTACAGGGTTGCACGCAGAACGCAGGCGCAAAGGTAGAAATGTAAAATTTAGTCAGATGTCATTGAGTCTAAATCAGGGAACCTTTCAACCTTTACATTGGCACAATCCTGTCAAGGAAAGCATGACAAATCCAACTCTCCCACTCCAAGCACGCCGCGCCACGGGCCATGTAGAAAAACAACATCATGAGCATTTGACCCCTTGATATTTAACTAGTTTTGATGTTGAACTTTGTTTGCGCTATCTTTTGCTGGTCAAAGCGGGCGGCACTTTTCATGCTCAAAGACGGGGTTTTGGGCTTAAGCGGGCCATGTTTACGCAATTTCGGCGCTCAAAGACGCAGGTTTGGGCCTTAAGCGGACCATGTCTACAAAGACTCGACATTGTGCTTAAGCGGGCCATCCTTACGCAATTTCGATGCTCAAAGACGCGGCTTTGTGCTTAAACGGGCCATGTTTGGGCTTAAGCGGGCCATGTTTACGCAATTTCGATGCTAAAAGACGCGGGT